AACAACGAACCAGTTCAGTTCAGGTTAATACGCAATTTTTCATACCAGAAGGTAAATCGATAAATGGTTGCCTAGATCAATTTTCTGTCATGTCTATGCAACATACTGAGGAAATGTAGCAAGGGAAGCACTTGAGGATGTGGCAGGTAGGAACAGAACTGGCATTTTGATTATTATATCTGGAGAGTTTTGAATTACTAAATTGGGGGGGGGGAGATTTTTTTTTCCACGTGTGAGACTGAGCTTTGTATTCATTACACGTACACACTACTGCATTGGTTGTTTATGCTTGCTGATTAACTGTAAAAAAAATGTTATACCATTTAAGTGTGAAGGTCTCCACTAAAATTATAGAAATGTATTTATGGGAGACACACTATGTACAGCAGTTGTTTATTAAGGTCATTGGTATAAAATGTATGATTGATGGAACGACTGTATCATTACAGCGCTGAACATAAAATACACGACCGGGGCACCTTGCCAGATGCAGCCAGCCTCTCCCAAGCAGGGCTGGGGCTGATGCTCAGGCTGCAGCCTCCTCTTACGCCGTACCCTTGCCGAGCAGAGGTTACCGGAGCTGAATTCACCAGGTGCCGGTCCCCAGCGTTACAGGTGGAAGGTTTTGACTGAGCGGGCTTTAAGATTTAAGATGTGCTTTGTGCAACTCCAGCAGTGCATTACTGCCAGCTTACTGGCAAGCACATGGGTGTGACAAACTCCCAGGTGGCAGTAAGAGCACCCTTTTTATTAACCCAAGAGCAGAACATCTTGTTGAGAGGTGCTGGACCAGGGTTACAACCTGCTTCTGCTCCCCGCTGGCCCCTGTAAGAAGGGAAAGCAACTGGGAGCCTGAAACCATTCCTGTATTTCACTGAGTTCATGCTGGGTTTCTTTAGTCCCCTACTCTCTCTCCATACTCACTGATGATTTTGGTTGATGATTATGGGTGTGTTTTGTTAATGATAGGTGTGCATTTAAAAATACCTTTTAATTGGTTTCTGAAGTAGTCTGTAGCAAAGCTGAAAAGAAAAGGTAGCTAGGTTTTATTTGTGCGCTATATTAAGCAGCTGCTTTGGACTGCTGCTAAATCCATATGAAACAATCCTGCATTCTGAAATAAAAGCAGATATTCCTGGGTATTTTTTTTTCCCCAGAGTTAAATAACAGGGAGAGTCCATATGACTGTGGTCCAGGCAAGCTGTTAAAAGTAAGAAGTTCTGGAAAAAAATTTCCAGCTTGCACTCTGATGCCAAATTTTGCAAGCATCCTGTTTACTGACTGGGACATTCAAGTGAAATCAGACCAGCGGGCCATGACCAAAGCTAAAAATAAAATTGCAAGAAGCCTGTGTAAAGCTACAGCTCTAATCCCTCCAGAAAAAATGTATCATACCTTTTTCAATTTCACAAGGATTTTAAGAACCCTTCTCTCCTCCTAACTCAGCTCGAGACTTAGAAGAAGTACTTCTCTTAAGAAACTGTCCTACTGCAACTCGGGCCAGGTACAGATGCAGAGCACAATGCTAACTTCCCTGGCCTGTCACCAAAGAGAATAAGTTTATTACAGCATGCAGGGAGAGAGATTTGACAGACAGCTGGCCACCCAAGCACTGTATTATTAAAGCTTGTGTTCAGCGGGATGCATTGTTTGAAAGTCGTGTTTGCAAAAGCAGTCTCCTACTACTAGCATCTGCATTAACTATTAGTTTTATGAAGTACAAACTGCTTTGCAATGTCATTGACACAAAGCAAGCTTAGCCCTGCGCCTACTTGAAAGAGAAAGAAAAAAACATCTCCTGAGGTTATTTAATTTTTTCCAAACATATGTTGTGAAAGGCCTCATGGCAGTTTGAAGGAACTCTCAGAGCTACAGCTAGAGGCATGCTGAGACCTTCTCTTTTGCAAAGAAAAAGCTGAAACCTTTTTGCTTTCATCAGGAGAAACAGTGAGGACAGAGTAGGCTGAGGTACAGGTAAATCCTGTTTTGTCTGTGCTGCCATGAAGGTAGGACCAAAGAAGGCCTTAATAGCCTGATAGGTATATTGTCTTGTAGCAGTAAATCCAGGCACAACACAAAGGTAGGAGGTTAATATAGTTTTATTACCAGAGCTCTGGTGATCTACTCCACTATCCAACAGCCAGCCTAATCTCCAGATGCTCTGGGGTTGTCAAATTGCAATGCGCCAGGTATGAAGGGAAGTGCTATTAATGGGCGAGGGGAAATACTAAAAGTAAGGCTGTGTCCCTGCCATGGAACTTGTAT